CAATATAGTTGAATGGAAATTAAAACAATAAGCACTTTTGATGAAAATATAATGCAAACAATAATAATTAATGAATCTAAAATCGAATATAAAAACAATAAATTGTAAGGAGATAAGGATAGAGAAATCAAATACAATGATTTATAGAGGTTCGGTCCTTCTCCACAAGGCAATTGAAAGATCAAGAAATCAATATATTGAACTCATATTCATGTTCAATGATTCAAACAAATTCATGCAATAAAAACTAGTAATCAAAGCATTCAAGAACCAGGCATGAATATCAACGAAGGTGAGTTAATCAATCCAAGCTTTCAAACATATTAGAATAATATTTACCAAGTGGCTTGGTGATTAATTTATGTAATGTGTTCATATGTTCTAGCACAATATCTCATTTTTGCACACAATCAAAGCAAGCATTTATCAAGTTATAAATCATAAACACATAGCATAGATTCAATACAATTACCTCTATCCTTATCAAACTATGTTGTTGTACTCATTGTAGTTGAGTGAGGCTTTAAATCCTTCATTCCACATCATTTGAGCTAGTTTTGATGTACTTGGGCTTGATCAATGAAGATGACTTGCTTTGCTTATTCCACTTGAAATTCCAAAAATGTAAGCTTATTCATGCTCATTTCAAGTTCTCCTAGCATAGACTTAGAAAAATTTCTTGATAAAAGATTTTCATTAGAAGCATCAAGAAAAATTAATTGATCAAAATTATACCAATTGTTAGAAAACAATATCATATTCTAAGTCATTGTAGGCAAAAGAAAATTTATTCACTAAGCACAAGTTGCCAATTACAAGGGAGATATATACTTAAGCTAGAGGCTATATATCAAGTTAAGCATCAAATATCGCAATATTGGCACTAAAGCTAAAGTTTCATGTAATGTGCAAAACATGAATCCTTTCTAGATCATTTATAAATATTGAACACAAAGAAGACATATTCAATATTCATATATATTCAATAACTCACCAAAGAATATGCCAAAATAAATTTTAAGCCATTTAAAAACTAAAAACTCAATGAAGACATATTTATCATAAAAAAATTTAAGAAAATTTTAGCACAAAAGCATAAATACGTCTACACAAATTATAGGCCATAATCAACAATGACTTAAGCTAAAAATAAACATCATAAGAAAATCACTCACTAAGTCATGTTACAAGCGTGTCAAGTAAAGCTCAATCATATTCATATAAGCACACACTTGACAAAAGTAATAGATGAACCAACAACACATATCATTTAAAAAAATAGTTCATCAATTTAAAAACACAAATCAAGAGATAAAACATTTAAACATAAGAGCAAGCATATTACAAGGGTGTTTCACAAATTAAGAAATAAAAAATTTAAGCACTTTCAAAATATAAGTATTAAGGTCAAGTTGAATCAATCATCATATGAGCACATACTTTGACAAAAAATATAAATGAACAAAGAATCAATATATATATATATATCACTTAAGCACAAGATGTTCATCAATTCTCAAATCAAGAGTTATAATAATTTAAAATATAACAATCAAGTTTAAAAAAAAATTTCACACTATCCAAGCATTGAGAACAAATTGAGTAATTTTAATTAACATGGTCATATAAACATGTTCAACAATTGCAAATCAATATGCATAAAAATAAAAAAAAATCATTTTCATCATGCCAAAATCATTCAAACAAATATATTGATGCAAAATACAATATGATAGTCCATTCAAAGCTTAATATGTCTAGGATTTTTATTTTTGTACTTTAAAACTCATTTTTGCTTGAAAAATACTTTAAAAGATCTCATAACTAGTCAAACTTATTTTTAACCATCTTGAACCATTCCAACAAGTTTCAAATGACAAAACAAAGTTGTTCAAGTGGTCATTTGGCATTAGAAACAAGGAAATCAAAAAGTTTAACTCTTAATCCCCATATTTCTTTGAAAAAGACTATTAAGATGGGCAAATATGTTTAAACACAAATTTAAGTTCTTTAAACCATCTAGAAAAGTTTTATATCCCAATTTGAAATTGTCTAAATGGTTTTTGATGCCCATGTATGTTCAAAAACAAGATTTGATCTTTTAAGTTCAACAATCCTTTGAAACTTGCATGTAACATTATGAAAAATAATTAAGCACATAAATAATCACACCAAGCATCAATAAAAAATTCATCAACAAAGTTATGCTCAAGCAATTTAACACCACAATCAATTTCAACAAGCATCTCAAGCATATTTAAGTGCAAAATAAATGCATATTCAATTCAACTCACATTTTCTCAATATTATGCAACATATGTCTTGCAATCAATGTCAACCAAATTTTGCATAATTAATCAAATACTCACAAATTTCATCAAGAATAGGTAACCAAATCCAAATACTCTTGAAATAAAAGTTTAAAGGTTACCCATCTCCATTGTATGTCTAGAGTATTCAATCTTCAATCCACATTGTAGCTTCTTACTCTAGCACACCTATAAGAGATAATCTCATTTGATTTTTTGTATCCAGATTGCTTTGGGTCCTTGAGAGTTAGTGAGCAAGTCTCTTGTTCCTTTAGGAACAAATACTTACCTAATTCTAAATGAAACTTTTCTTCTAATAGGACAAGTATATATAGTATGATCATGAAAATTACAAAAATTACATTTAATCATTTTAGTACTTAATGAACTCTTTAAAACTTTTTGTTTTTCATACATCAATTCATCAAATTTCTTTTTCAAATCAAAATTTTCTTTTTCTAAAATTCATTTATATTTTGAGAGGTTTCTAAATCTATTTTCAACTTTTCATTTTCTTTTTCTAAAATATTTTTTGCATTCATCACAAGATCATTTTCAACATTCAATTTTGAAATCATTTTCTTATGTTTCAAATGCATATTTTCAAACTCAATTCTTAAATCATTGTAAGCATCTTATAACTCATCAAAAGTATAAGAGTTTGAATCACAAGAGTTAGAGGTTATCTTTGGTTCCTCAATAGCCAATAAGACATGTTGGATGTTGGTTGAAAATTTATCTTTTATGTAGCTCATCCAACTTTCTTTATATCTCATTTAAGGTTGAGCATTTTGAGACCAAGTTGAATTTGTAATCATCTAAAGCTCCATAGAGAATGCATTTAGCCTTTGCATCATCCATTACTTGTCTTATATGGTTTGCATCATTTAAAGGAGTTTCAAGCCCTATTTCTATCATTAATCAAGTTTTAAAATCATGGGCCATTGTGAACATCTTCATCTTTCTTTTTCATTCACAAAATTTAAATTTATCAATCATAGGAGGTTTGAGGACTTTCTTACCATCTTAGAACCAAAATTGAGCCATAGGATCTTTACTCAAGGTGATTAGACCTACAAAAAGAGACCAAAGCTCTGATACCAGTTTTCAAGATCAAACGCTTACCATTACACCAAAAGCTATAGCTGATAGTGAATGTGCAACTCTATTTTCTTATTCTCTTTTGGTAGTGTAGAGCCCTATACTAAGCGACATATGGACATAAGGGGCTTTACAAAGCCTTCATGGGATACTTCACCCATTGGATCTCGACAAGTTGGGTTGTCATACACCGAAATTCGATCCACCATGGGATACCCCACCTAGATGAATCGACATATCGAGTCCTTAAGAGAGATCGTTAGACCTCAGAATCCAATAATCTCTCTTCCAGCAACACCTAGAGGACTCAAACCTGTAACCTCGCTCTGATACCAGTTTTCATGATCAAGCGCTTACCATTACACCAAAAGCTATAGCTGATAGTGAAGGCGCAACTCTATTTTCTTATTCTCTTTTGGTAACGCAAAGCCCCTTACTAACTAACAGGTGGATATAAGGGGCTACGCAAAGCTTTCATAGGATACTTCACCCATTAGGCCTCGGTAGGTTGGGTTGTCATACACCAGAATCCGATCTATAATGGGATATCCCACCTAGATGAATTGACATACCGAGTCCCTAAAGCAAACCGTTGGACCCCATAATCCAACATAATAAATTTGGACACATGTCAAGTTCTTATCAAATATGAAGAAGGTATTATAGTAATTTATTTGGAGATAGTTTTAAGCTAATAGTTATAAGAGAAGTGTAATTTTGAAATTATGATATGGAAGTTAAAGGTATTCATAGGTTGGGTCGAGCTCAGGTCGGATTCATACTTAGTATTAATAACTTATATGCTTATTCAGATTCAGTCCACTTGATTATTTAGGCTTAAAAAATTTCTTAAACTCGGTCCAAATTAATAAAATAGATTTCAAGCCCACCTATTAAACATAATTTATATAATAAAAAAATAAAAAATAATTAAATTAAGTTTAATAGGATTATATTCAACTCATATAAATAATTAAAAACAAAAATTATATAAAAATAAAAATTAAGTTTAATAATATATATAATTTTTATTTTTAATTTTTATACATTTGTGAATTAATTTATATATGCGAATTTGGACTAGATCGAGTTCGGGTCTTAATTTTTTTGGTTTAAGATCCGATCCGAAATATAAATGGATTTAAAAATTATGTTTAAACTCATTTAACATGTTTTTATTTTTTGTCTAAATTCTTTTAAAATTTGGATAAATCTTTAGATTTAAATGAATAATTTGACTCTTAAATAGGTCTAAGTATTATAATAAATAATTATAAGAAAAAATGTATTTTTATAATTATAATATTATGACCTACTAATAAATTTGAATATGAAAAGGGATATAATAATTTACTTTCGGGATAGTTTTAATTGTATAATATTGTTTTTATAAGATCAATTTAGTAGTAATTTAATTTTTTTATATATAACATTTATGAGGTCAAAACCATGCATGCAGTGTACGCGATTAGGGTGTAATTTGGTAGTACTTCCAAAATCTTTGATTTTGTTGCATAAAAGGCAGGAATAATATATAAATGGAAAGGCCAGTCAGACTCAGTCAACCTTGTTTAATTGTTTTAATTTATTTCTTAAAAAACACAGTAACATCTCTATATAAACTCAAACCAAAACAAAACTTAAAAGAAAAGAGCAGCAAGCTTTATGCTCTTTGGTTTCAGTTTTTCTTTTTCGGCAATCAATTTCTTTTTTGTTTGATCGGAATCTGATCGGTAATTTTTCTCCTTTTGTTTTCCTCCAACTTTCACTCCAATTCTGAAATTCCCCCTTCAAATATCTTTTCTATTTTTTTAAATTGTGATTTTATATTAATGCAGCCGATTTATTGTAGTTTTGATTGGGGCAAGTGCAGTTGGAGATGATAGAATGCAGTGTTTGCCATTCAAAAATAGCATCACCGATTAGCAAAGCCATTTCGAGGGCTTACGATGGGCACCGTAGCCATGTCTCCTCCAAAACCCGTATCCTCAATGTTCTTTTGGTCGGTGGTGACTGCGTTTTGGTCGGTTTTCAGGTCAATTATTTTCCTTTAACCTTAAACCAACCATACTTGGTCTAAACCAGCAATATTGTTTGGTGGTGCCTTTGCATTCTAACACTATATATATTAAATATATACACTAAATTATTGCAGCCTATATTGGTTTATATGTCAAAGGTGGATGGTGGTTTCAAGTTTAGTCCCATTAGCGTTAACTTTCTCACTGAGGTGACCAAAGTTATTTTCGCCATTATTATGCTCTTGTTCCAGGTATTTTTACCATTTTATTAATCGGCCTCTTTAGAATTTAAGGAAGCACTTTAATCCTATATGCCAGCAGGCAGCAGTGGAGCATAAGAATTATATGCTTGTTATCATGTGTTCATTTAACTATAAATAAATAAGTCAACATTGAGTTAACATGTATAGTTAATTAGACACATGGCATTCAAATAAACCTGCTTGTGGAGTTTTTAAACTCTTCTGCTAAGTATTATTGCCATTTGTTCTCTCTTTTTTGTGCTTTTATTATCATAGAGTTTGCAAGGAATGTACCATTTTTGTCCTAGTGAAGTCGTATTCTCCATTAAGTTTGGTATCCAGTGCATGAACTCTCTCATCCTTGTGGTGTTGTATTCTCAATTGAATCTTAGTTGTATCTGTTCAATTTTCATTTATATATATTTTCTATACTAGGTTAGATAAGCCAAAGAAAACATAAATGTCTCCCTATTACAACTATTGAAATAATTGGGGAAAACAGAGCTGAGCATATCCAATCATGATGTTTTTTACAAGGTTGGAATTGGTTGGCATGATCAAAGGAAAATGCATATATAATGTAAAGGTATCAGAAACACCATAAGATGAATCAACATATCCTTCTAAATATGAGGTCCACACATTTAACAGTTCAATCAAAGTTACCTCATGCATGAAATCTCTGTTTCAAAATTTCCCTGTGCATGAAACTTGAGAAATCCTAAAGAGGAGGGGGGGGGGGTTTACAAAATAGATCGGTTTGATGATATTAATAGTTTATATACTACAATCATGTTATGCTGGTTTTATAAAAGGATATAATGTCTAGTTGGAAAATTTTATCATAATAGCTTTGTAGTTCTGAGTCCGTGTTTTGTCAACCATTTCTGTCTCTTGTAGTTATTTTTGTTTCAAATTCCTTTTTCATTCGATTCATCAATTATTTTTATAAGATGTTTTATGATTTATAAATTCTCCTAGCTTATAAGCCCATATAAATTATTTTTAGTGGAGATATCATCTTGACTGTGGTTTCTTTTTATAGAAATTGTCTGACATGCAGGAACAAACAGATTATGTTCACTACCAATTATTATCAGATAATCTAGAAATGGCAAAGATGGAAAGGGATCTGGTGCCTTAAAGCAGTCTGGAAATTAGAGGGAGTGCTAAATAAAATGATTCTGATCATCGACCTGTAGCAATAGGAAACATTACTAAGCCTAGCCTGTATGAGTTCAATGGGCTTGTTATTAGTATCTGGCAGGAATAAGAGAAGTTTTATTGCAAATGATTATTAGAAGTCCAGTTCCATTTATTATTTTTTTATTGAATGTTATTGGAGATTTTTTTTATTAAATTCATTCATTAGCATTTAATTATTGATCCTATTTAACTCTATCTCTTATATCCTTTAAGGCTCGGCATAAGAAAGTTGGGGAGAAATCTCTTCTATCAATTTCTACATTAGTGCAGGTAAGAAATTTATTTCAACAAATTTGTGATTCTGATTGCAGTTGTGTCATTAGTTTCTCTATCACTAATTTCACTATTGATTCTTAGTAACATTAATAATCCGGATGGTTTATAATGCAACCTTCTTATAAGCTTTTGATAAAGAATGGAAATAGTCCAATCTTGAGGTTAGAAGTATGTCCTGCAACATGTGATTAAAACTTGTTGGCTAAGCTAAGAACCAAGTGTTGGGCTTTGGTAGTTTAAATGTTAATTCTTGAAGTTTGTACTTTGTTCAAATGATATGGGATGATTTTATTGAGTGTTAAAACTGTAAAACTGATTAAGAAATTGGCTTAACCATATATGCTTTCTGGTAGATAACAAAAGCAATTGAGATACCAACATGATTGTTCATTGTGATTAGTTGACATTTATGATATTTAGGCAGTAAAGGTGCAGAAGGACATTAAAAGAATTTCAGTTGTTACAATGTGATGCTGAAAGTTGAGATGCAGTAAGTCAGCCAAATGTTTTCAGTTGCCCACATAGCTTTGGCTTTCTGTCTTGGTTTTCTTGGTTTTGTGTGGTAAATTTGTTGAGACAGAGTGTTGTGCAATGTGCAACTTTAACAAGACTAATGGTAGATAAGCAGTGGGTTTGGTTTTATTCTATTTAAAGAGTGAACAGTGCGTTGTTGACATTCTTTGGTTTTTGAGTGGCAGTTTTCTTTATGCCTTACTTTTGCATTTTCTGGTGTGTGGGTGTGTTTATGTTCCCTTGAATCATCAATATTTTTTTCCTGTTGGTTTTTGAATAGATAATATGTTTCAACTCTTTAAGGATATTATGGGTTTTCTGAAAGATGTGCTGCCATTTATGTGATCTTATTTGGTTGACAAAAGTGTGTTTGGATTGCTTTCTGTAAACTAAAATATATGTACTACTATTCATGAGGTATCATTTTGGTCTGGGAAATCATCTTTATGTGATATTAAGGCCTTTTGAGCTTTTTTAGCTCATTATTCTCCTTTGTATCTACCTTTGTTGTTTTTCTCAGATTCCACTTCTCCAAAATGATATGAGTGGCAGTAATTCATCCACAACATCTTTCTGACCTCAAGATACCTTTCTCTTTGTTCTCAACTTTTACAGGCTGCTCGAAGTAATTTGCTTCTTGCCGTTCCAGCTCTACTTTATGCTATCAATAATTACCTAAAGTTTATCATGCAGGTTGTCTTTTCTTACTGACCTTGCTGCTTCTTTTAAGTCACCTGAATAATTTCAACTACTTTTACATGACCTGATTCTGTATAATTTTGGGAAACACCATTTCACCATGTGCTGTATTTTTTTTTTTTTTTTTTTGAGAATATGTGTTGTATTTCTGTTAAACAATTATCCACAGCTAAAATTTCTTATTAATATTCCTTGGTTTGGTGTTTCCTAATAGTAGTTGTTTTCTAATATTTATGCTGTTATTCTGCTGCAGCTTTATTTCAATCCTGCTACAGTGAAGATGCTGAGTAACCTGAAGGTAGCATAATAGACTATGTTTAACGATCTTTTAAATAGAATATGTTCTAACCAATCTCCTTTATGCTCTAACAAAATGCATTTTTGGCTAGTTTTATGCTTTAAAACTTCTTTTCCTTTTTGGGTATTCGTGACATAGTCATTACAACCAGTCAATGAGTATAATGAATCCTAAATACCATTAGTTTATACTCTATCTAAAAGTTATACCCATTGGTCAGAAATAACTTTATGTTGCTGTCCTCCATGAAAAGATTAAGTACTCTGCTCACGATCTTATCCGGCTGTTTCTTTTGGCTTTTCTGTGAGATTTGTTAGTACATCTGCTTCACTGCTTTCCAACATATGCAGGTTTTGGTAATAGCTATCTTGTTAAAGATGATCATGAAACGGCGGTTTTCTATTATTCAGGTTAGTTTGAACAAAAAATTTTCTCGTTGTACCATATTGCATTCAATTCTCCAAAAATTAAAAGAGAATATGTGGGCTTTTGAGATGACTAATTGATTGTTATTTATCCGTATTGTGCACATGTGGGTTGATCCATATTTGTAACAGTGGGAGGCTCTTGCTTTGTTGCTTATTGGAATTAGTGTAAACCAGTTGCAGTCTTTACCAGAGGGTATGACTTCATTTGGTCTTCCAGTTGCAACAGGCGCATACTTGTACACACTAATTTTTGTAAGTTGTTAAATGTGTTGCGTCACTCAATCCATATGGCAACTTTTTGAACTGTCTCTATTACAAAGGATTATATCTTGTAATGATCTTATTCATGCAGTAGGACTGCTGAAATGCATGTTTTTTCTCTCTTTCTCATAAACGTATAAACTAGAAATTGCTTATTAACAGATTATGGTTTAGCTAAACATAGCTTAAGCAGTTTTTTTAACAAGCAGAGGTGCCTGCTCGTTGCAGCTGGTAATTTGTTAGGTTAAAATAGGAATGAAATTGAGATTTAGGATAGGTAAGGAGTATTTAATAATTTTTTAGGTTTAAACTATATATATATATATATGTATATTCATAATAGTTGTTCAAAGTAATTACAGTTAGGAGTGAATTTACAAAATTAACTTTAGCTATAATATAAATTGCCAAATAAATCGGTTAATGCAATTTTTAGGTTTACAGCTTTTAAACTATTAGTTAACCATCGCACTCATGACAATGTTAGTTTGACCAAATTCATAAATCACTTAGAGCACTCCAAAATTTAGAAATCCATTGATAACTTTTTAGAAATTATTAGATAATTAATCTAGTTAATATTGGTGGGAACTTGATTAAATTCTAATAAATTCTCATAATTTATAATACACACTTTCTAAATAAGAGATCTAAATACATATCTAGTAAAACTTGTGATGCTAATATGATCAAATCAAGTTACTAATCATACTTGAATACTATGATAGTGTCATAGTTATTCCTACTCCCTAGTAAGTATTAATACATCAATAATATATAATAAAAAAGAATAAATTGATAAATGACAAATAAAGTAATTTTGTGGGTTGGGGTTTTGGAGTGAAGAGATAGTTTAGAATTTCATGACGTGAATAATTATTAACTATTAAAAACATAAGTTTTAAGAAAGGTTGTTAATAAACAAATGTTACAGGAACCACTAGAGCGTCATAACAGCTAAAAAAACCCAGTGAAGGAAAACCTACATATGACCAAAAGAATAGAAAACACGAACTGTGAAAAATAATCATAAAGTCTACACTATTTTGGTAACTGTCCCTCCCTTTTACAAAGACACTGTCACAATGTGTCAATAATCTTTAGTCATTTGTAAAATATTAATGTATATATTATGCTAGAGAATGTGACACAATGAAACTTAGCACTATGACATTAATGCAGGTTAGTGTTCCATCCTTGGCATCAGTCTTTAACGAGTATGCTTTGAAGAGCCAATTTGAGACAAGCATTTACCATCAGGTAAGTTTATAATGATATTATTTGTTGTACTTGTGTTGCCATGATGAACTAGCCTGGTGGGACAACTGATGGCACATTTGTCATGGGCTTTAGTATTGATTCTTAATAACAATTTGAGGAAAAGGAAAGAAAAACTCTGAAGTAGTCTTACATGGCTTAGATTTGGGAGAATTAAAGTAATTTTCTGAAGGATACGTAAGTGGGTAAACAATTCTGGTCTTTGACCTTTAGTTTAGGTCCTCCATTCATTTGTGGTTGCTTTATGTGTTTCACAGAACTTATTTTTCATTTTTGGTTGCTTTATGTGTTTCACAGAATTTATTTCTTTATGGATATGGTGCCATTTTCAATTTCCTAGCCATTCTTGGAACTGCAATTTTTAAAGGTAGGACATAGACTCTAAGCTAACAAATGTGCCTGGTGGAAATCATGATATGATTATTGACAGAGCTTCATTGTTCATGTTTGGTCACAAGTTCTTGATTATCTCACAAATTATTTTATCTGTGTATATATTTGTACTGATATTTTGCCTTTTAGAGGCAGTATAAATTACTCTGAGCACATGCAAAATCCTTTTGTTGACTACCTGTTTTAATTCCATGACCTCCTTGCTTTTAGGTCCCAGTACCTTGGATATCATGAGGGGACATTCGAAGGCTACTGTGCTTTTAATATGCAACAATGCATCCCAAGGGATCTTATCATCTTTCTTTTTCAAATATGCAGGTAAATTTTGCTACTCATGTATTTTAATTTTGTGATGGAAGTTGATACAAAAAAAAAGGTAAAGAACATGAAGTAATTGCTGAAAACACTGAATTTAGTTAGACCTTGGAAAAATACTTGAGTTACTGCATATCTACAATGGTCGATTGGTTTTAAAGGGGTAAAAAGGAGCTACGCAACGTTAAGTTTAAGGCTTGGTTCCATTCATGCCTTTATAATCACGTGCCACAATTAAATTATACTCCAGTATGCAATTCACGTGAGAATGATGCTATGCTAACTGTATGGTTACGACCCAGAACTTTATGTTACAACATTATGCTGTTGATTATTTCGCTGAAATTCTGTCAAAACCGTTTCCCTTTTTTTTAGTATCTTTGACTAAATTTCACTTGGTTTTTTTTTTTTTTGGCTGAAGGATTTTTTTTTCATAGACCTTGCATTATTAATGGCATTATATTTTAGTATTTTCTCTTACTGTCTAATAGGCTTCTCATATTATTTGTATTTTGTCTTCTCTAAAAATTGTTTCTTGTTCTTGCAGATACAATCTTGAAAAAATACTCCTCAACCATTGCTACAATTTTTACTGGTATAGCATCTGCTGCTTTGTTTGGTCACACCCTGACTGTAAACTTTGTTTTAGGAATCTCAATTGTGATTATCTCCATGCATCAGGTAATTTTAGCTTATATAGGTGCTCGTATATGCTCATGCTGACACAGTTTTCTTTTGTTTAGCATTTCTGTTGTGGCCAGTGAAGAACACACAGAAACCTTGGCCTATATATTTTTCTACTTTTCCTTTCCTCTTATTTCTTTGCCTGCCACTTTGATGATAGGGAGAGACTGCTCATAATTGTGTTATATATTTTCTTCCCTTCAGTTTTTTTCAGCACTTTCGAAGGTTAAAGATGAACAACAAAGTAGTAATTTAGAAATGGTGGATAGCCAAGACAGCAAGAGGTGTGCCTTTCTCCTGTATGCTATTTTTGTGGACCTTGAGTAAACTGTTCTACGCTTGGATATGGATCATGGCATTAAATGGATCTATGATTTTTTTTATTCACTAGTGAAAAATGACTGTCTTTTTCTATTTCATGAGCTTGATCATTATGAAAAGGAGGGCTAATATGAACAAATAATGAAGGATCTAAGAGGCCTTGGAAGAATGAGAGCTCTTAAGAGTCAAGACTAGTCTCAAAGGGACTTTCTGATGTGCATACATGACATTTTCTGTCTTGTGTCTAGATACATAGTTTCCATATGTAAAACAACCACTGGGTCAACAAAAGTGTTATCACCTAAATGCGCCTTTTCCCCCCTTAAATAGTTATGTTTTTTACTTCTTTATTTTCCTTTTTATTGTTTTTTATGTGATTTTCCTTTTTTTTCCAAGTACATGCATCTTCTTAATAGCTTGTGCAATAGTTACCAGAAGATGCCAATACCTGGTTGACAGAATTAGAATTTGTTCAGAATCCTTCTTTTTGGATCCTATTATCCTTTCCTATACTTGGATTTTCGATTTGTGATATAAACCATTAAGGTAACTAAGACCAGCCGTGTCATTGTGATGAGGTGAACTATATGATGCTTCATTTGTCTTACTTTACCCTATATGTGGTAAACCTCTTTGAGTCAATGATCATGTACTGACTAAAAACAAAGTTGTCAAATTTGTTTCAATATAATGCGTGCCTACTGTCTGAATTAACAAATATTTAGTGCTTGGAGTAGAGCTAAGGTATCAAGCATAAAACTCTTGTTGGTAAGTTTCATTCCTGCTTTACCAGGTCGTATCAAGCTTTTACATCTCAAGTTAAAAACTATTTCCTGTGGTTCAACACAATTATCAGAGAACTTGTTCACAGAGTTGGTTGGATTGTCAGTTAGGGAACAACTATTTTGAAGTTTGCGAATGACTATGATGATTGATAGACACTATATACTGCACTATTTTCTTGAAAAATCTCAGGCAGTTCATTTTGTCGTTTCTATTTGCATTTTTTTATGTGCAATGATTACTAGAAAATAATAAAAAAAAAAGGTTGTACAAGAGGTGCCTCCAGTTTAAGTTCATTGCATTCTTTTCTAGTGAAAGCAGGTCTGTTTTTTGTACTTATCACCACCAAAACGTTTTGCGTTACCTTCACTTCTCCCAATATTATAGTTGTTCTGTTCACTGCAAACTAAACTGCAAACTTGCCAATATCTTATCAGGACTAAGGATGCATCCTTCCTAAATATGACCGCTGGAGCAAATGAAGATGTGAGAAGCTTTGAACAACTGTGGCTTATTGAAATATACTGAACATTTTTTCTTCTCTTGGATTTTGATTCTCAATTATGCTTTTTAATGAATTTTTGCTTTTGCCCAGGCTAGCCATCATGTCAATGAGGAGGAAAAAAGATCACTTCTTCCAGTTTAGGTTCACATGTACTGGGTTTGGATCTGCATTATTGGTTTTGCTGATAAGGAGAATGTCTTAATTTTCTGTGCTTGTCACTGTCTAAAGCATATCACTCCTTCTCTCGCCTTTGGAAAATAACATGAGGGTTCAAATAAAAGAAAACTATCCTCATAATAGGATTTCACAAATATTAGAAGATAGAGGTGGCAATTAGGCATGTTAGGTTCAGGTTGGGTTAGTTTGGTTCATGAAATTTTGGGATCACTTCAGGTTGAAATTGTTTCTTGTTTGGATTCAAGTCACTTTGGGTTTCAAATTACTATGGTTCAGGTCATCTTTTATAATAATTTATAATATATTTTTTATTTTTTAATTAAATTAAAATTTTAAATGAGAAAATAATATATCATATTCTTAATTTAAGTTTCAAGTTAACGTCATTTGGGTTTGAGTTGATTCAGTTCATTGAGTTTGATTGTTGACATTTAGAGTGAAATTGGGTTGGATTGCATTAGAGTTCGAGCAGGTTGGGTGGTTTTATTGGTCGGGAAAAGTTGTCAGCTGTAGCAGATATTTTTTGAAGCCCTGTTTAGAAATTTATCCAGATATACATAATTAGGTGTCTGATGTAGCAAAATGCTCTTTGACTTTTTAACTAGGCAAAAGCATGCTCATGCATAAGAAGCTTCTCCTCTTTATTCATAAGAAGGCATATTACAGGCAACTCTGGTTTGTTACTCCTATGAGGTTTGAACACATTAGCCATGGCCAGGCGTCAGGGAAATGGAATGACATGATCATTTCAGTGGATTTTGTTTGTTATTTCTGCTTTCAAGTATATAATTCTTGTAAATGGTTTAATTTCAGGAACAGTTTTGGAGGATACACTATTTTAGGTGGACTCAGTTTGAGAAAATGGTACAGCTTGCAGTAACTGAACAGAATAAATGCCGTCTAATGATTCACAATTCATTACTTCATCTCATGCCATGCTTGGGTCAGTTACCCACCACAGCATAGTCAGTCTATGAAACTGCAAGTGGGCTGGCTGTCTCATCAGCAAAGTTTAATATCTGCTACAGAAGAAAAATTAAAACTTTATACGGGATTATAGAATTCTTCTTCATGTGTACATTCTGTACTCAAATCATTTCCCTTTAAACCGAAGGGTTCATTTTTGAACATGCAATGAAATTTATGCAGTTTTGCTTTAAACTCTTTGATATCAAATGGATTCTTGGATTTGTTGGAAGCTATTCTTTCATTTACCAAGAGATTCAGGGAAACTAGATTTAAATCTTAAACCTCAATCCTCTTAAAAAGTGATAATAACTGTCACCTCAAACTAGTTTTGTTCTTGCACCAACAATGATTGTTGGTGATTTCTTGATTTGGAGGCAGCACAAGATTGACTATATTTTAGTAGAAGAAAAAAAAAGAGATTTTTTTTTTTCCTTAGAAGTCAAGTTTCACTTCGGTTCAATTAATCTATTTAACTATTAAAACAATAAATTATTTGATATTAATAAGTTAATATTTTAAAATTAAAATTAAATAAAGACAACATTTATTAATAATATAATTTAGTTAGGTCAAGCTTGAATTGAAAAATTTATGCACAAGCTCGACTTAAGTTTGGTTGGGCTCATGCTTATGATTAACCTGGCTTAGACACCTTTAATCAATATATCCATTTTACATTATTGCTCAATGGCATACTGTGTAAATATGATTTTCAGAAAAAACAATTCTGAGTTTTCCTTTATATATAATAATAATAATAATAATAATAATAAGTCATAATGTGATAATAAAAATAATTATTGGTGTGTTTAGTGTATAAGATTATGATAGGATATGATAAAATGATATTATGATTAGTATTAAATTAAATAACATTATACTATTTTGTGTTTGATATATGCAAGAATTAGAATAGAATAATTTATTTATTGGATAAAATTATCCTTCTTAAAAATTTATACAATTTAGATTATTAATGTAATTTTTAAGGATATAATAGAACATATAAATTCAATCCATGGATTAAAAATAATTCTCTCTTATTTGGGAAGATTAAATGATCCTATAGCAAGAGGATGATTAATCTTCCTTGTAATCTTATCCTTTTCTCTAAATACAAACAAAACGTAATATAGGATGATTATCATCCTATCATATCCAATATCTTATAGCCATGTTTGATCTATAGGATAATGGATAGGATAGATGATAATCATCATCTTGGCTTAAGATGATTCAATTTTCTCAAAATTGAGAAGATTATTTTAAATCCATGGGTTTTATTATACCATTAAAATTATATCGATAATTTAAATTGTATAAACTTTAAGGAAGGATAATTTTGACTAACAAATAAATTATATTATTCTAATCCTTACATACATTAGACATAAAATAAGATGGTATTATTTAATTTAATTCTATTTATAATGTCATTTTATCCTATTCTATCATAATTTTATATACTAAACATATCCTATAAATATTAAGATTTAATCTCGTATCTATTAAATATTATTTTTAAAAATAATTATATAAGCCAACTATTTAATTAAACAAACAGCTTCAAATTTTTGTGATGATGGCACGTACATGGTGCACCTTGCATATACGCAAGGAATTAAGTTTAGATTTGTTGAGTGGAAAAGGGGAGAGAAAAGAGAATCTCTCTTTTGGTCATTTTCCGTTAAAATTGGGGTTCTAATTTGGTTGTTTTCTCAAAATGACGAGAGTAGGTGTCATAATGTATGGATTTATTGATATATTGTTAAACTTGACTTTAAAGAGTCGCCAAGAATATTATTTTGTATAAGTGTGATTGGCCACTTGATTGAGTTTGTCCCATTTTAAAGAAATGTCCTAAGCTTTATTTAGGTATTTTTAAAAGTTAGATTCATGTCTACAAAACCATGACTATGTTTGGGAGTACGGTTATGTGTGGAAAATTTTTAACATTTTTACAACACCTATCCAAAGGATAAAACCAGTTTGATTTCGTGTTATCAAAAAGCCTAAAAAACTTATCAAGTAATCTAATGTCGAAAATTATCCCTAAATTACTTCAATATGTTGGTAATAATTCAAGAACATCCCCTCACCTCAAAAGTATTCAAGGAGACTATTTGTCAGATTTAAATAGGCCCCATTGTCAGATTCATTTAATTTTTGTAAAAAAAAAAAAAAACCATCAAAATTGCATTTAAGGCCATCACTCTCAAGCTTAAAAAAGCTATATATACATATAAAAACTGGTGGAAAATAAAAGAAACAAAATTGGCAGTACATAAAAAGAACTGGCAGAAAATAAAATAGAACATAAAGGCATGAAATAAGAAGAGAATGAAAGAATCAAGTCTTTTGAGCACCTATAAGAGGTCTTCCAAGCTAAGGCTACCTTGGACTATCATTTTCTTACAAAAATAACATCAAACTTGAAGCAAAATAAAGTTGAAAATGAAAGGAAATCAAGCTGGAAAAAACAGAACCAAAAAAATGTAAACTTTCATTAATGGAACTTGAAATGAAAAAAGGTAGCCTTTGAAAGTAAGCTTAGTACAATAAAACTAACTAGAATTTTGCATGGTTTGGAGGGACTTTTTGGTTAAAAAATGCAGAAGATAGTGATCAGATGCATTTCTCAACCAAAAAGTCCCTCCAAACCGTGTAAACCAAAGGCAATAAAGAGTGGTAGTAAATGTCTTTTTCAAGTATGGTCCCAATTTGTCTTGTAGTGAAATCGGTTTCCTTTTCTTGCTCTTTCTTTGTCGATTCTCCTTGCTCAAATTTGGCTTGATTTTTGGCTTGTTAGATTGATTTTCTTCCTTTTTTAAGCTCTCAAAGTCAGCTTGAACTTTCCTCAATTTGGCTTCATACATTGCAAGCTAATCAAAGCAAAACATGAAGCTTATACAAGGCTAATTGCTTGGTAGCTTGTTTGTCATATTCGTGGCTTTTTTCCCTTCTGAGTTCTAGCTCACTTCACCTGCTTAACATCATTTGCAAGGGCCTTGGCACAATTCCCTTAATATGTTTAACCATAACTAGCACAAGGGGACTAGGTGTAGCCATATTTCGAATTCACCTACACATGCAACAATTTGAAAAATTAGGTGAGTAATAAAGTAAAAATTAATCAAGTAAGACATAAAATTAATCAACTAAACACATGATAAAACTTGACTTTTTGTTTGTCCTTAAGCAAAATCAACTTATATTAAGAGTCAATTTCACTTCCTATGATCAATTAGAAATTGTTTCCTCAAAAATTGCAAGATGATTATAACTTAAGGTAAATCCTAAATAATGGCTATTCATGAGAATTATCCTAGAATGTGCATCTGCTCAATTGAAGTTCCATTATGTGCAACATTCATCACATATATATGCAATCTAGCTAAGAATATGCAACCATGGAATTAAGACAACATAATCAAAGTGCACATACATTTCATAAGTTTGTCTTACACACCTCTTTCCTTTAATGTTGGGCTAACACTAAAGTAAAGATCCTTAGGTCTTTGCTAATTTATAATGTTAAGCTAGGGTAGAGATAAGATAGAAAGGATTTTTAGGTTCAAGTTCCCCAATTGTGCATTACAAGCTTAGGATCAATTAGAGAGCTTCTAAGACTTAAGCACCCCTATTGAACTTTTCCCCATTTTATTATTTTTCTTTTTCTTTTTCTTTTTTTCTTCTTTAGTTTATTTTTAATTTTTTTTCTATTAACCCTGTTTCCCAAATGTGACATACCTTTCTAATTATGTCATGAGTCATCCTTATGCATATAGATAGGGACAACAAAGATAAAAATGCAAGAAATGATCTAAGTTTATTTATGTGGGTGCTTATCAAGGAATGGATAATATAAGGCTCAAAAGG